GGTGGGGACGGGCCAGAGCGGCTGGCGGGCCCGCGGGTCGGCAGCCGTCAGTCCCGCGCGAGCATGGAGGCGGCCTGAGGGCCAGAGCCCAGCCGGGGCCGGAGCGTTTGGTGAGTGGTCTGGCCAGCCGAGCACGCGGGGGCGGGAAGGGGGCGCGCTGCCCGCGGCCTGGGCTGGCGCTTTGTTCCGAGGCGGGAGGTGTGGCCGCCCCCCGCCCGGCCGCGCTCTCCTAGCGGAATGCGCTCTGGGACTGGCGATGAGTGGCCTTTTGCCCCCACCGCAGGCTCCCGCATCACGGCGTGCGATCGAGAAATCGGCCACGACCGAGACTCCAGTGGGAAGGGCCTGCCCACCGCCCCCAAAGCCCCTGTTATGATAACCGTCCTTGGGCTCCTTGTCTGCCTGGGCGAGAACCCGCGGAGTGGTGGGCAGCGGGACTCGGGAAGAGGGGCACTTTCTCCCCTTTTAAAATGGCGTTAACGAGCGCCGAGCTCCGCCGGGGGAGTTGTCAAATCCAGCTGAATAACAAAAAGCAGCCTGCTTCATAAACAGCCCTTCACTGTGCCCGAGGCTGGAGGCTTGGGGTTTTGATCACGAGTAGGGCCTGGCCCATTCATTGACCGGACCTGACTAGGGCTCCCACCGTGTGTGGGACACGGTGCCAGCCAGCTTCCGCTCTTCGGGGAAGACAGGGGCACAAACCGAGAGACAGCCCAGCGTGGTCGGTGCTGGGATCAGGGAAGCATAGGAGTTGTGGTAGCAGACAGTGTGGAAAGTCAGGGAAGGACTGCTAGAGGAGGTGATGCCTGGCAGGAGCTTGGGCACTGGACACCCGATTAGACTGTCTGTGGCTGGGACAAAGCCTAGTCCGGAGAAGTGGGCAGGGGGCCACTTCATCAAGGCCCTGATCACAGAGCCCTGGGCTTGACCCTCTTGCCTCCATGGGCCGCTGCTGGTAACTGACTTCCTTGGGCTAGAATGGTTCTTGCCCCTCGAGGACTCAATTCTGTCCTGGGTCTGACTAGAGAGGGTGACTGATGAGGTTCAGAATTGTGGCCTCCAAGGAGTGACTTCCCTGGCAGCAGGAGTAATAAGGTGATCTGACTTAAAAAGCCCTGAAGCTCCATTGTAATAACAGCAGTCAGCAGGGCTTACACAGACCAGACTCGAATGTGCTTGCTCATCATTTGACAAGACTCCTTCAGAGGTTTTATTATTATCCCCATATGCATGTGGGAGACTGGGGCTAAAAGGGTCAATAATGTGCCCAAGAGACCATGATTTAGACTATGCAGCTGTCAGGCCCCTCTGGTGAGGGTCGTGGTCCTGGGCTTGAAGGGTCCAGGTGTAGCCTGTTATGCTCTATTGACATTCTCTGGTGGGTTGAAGGGTGGGGTGGTGAGCCGTTAGCATTCATGACTGACATGTGTCAGGGGCTTTGCTGTGAATAAAGCCCTTTCACTGAGACAGTTCTTAGAGTTTCTCCTGCTTCTCTTCTGAGCGAAGAAACTTGAGCCGGCTAACATTTTGTAAATCTCCTAATTTCCTGTAAATTGCATGTCCCTGCTGACTGGGGTTGAAAATGTTTCAGGCCATGGTTTTCACCCTTGGGTCTATTCTCACTGCCCAGCAGCCAATTACCTTCTCTGTCTGTGATTTATGGTGTAGTTTGCCCTTTTTCTGCCAGGGCAGAAGGCATGGGGCTTTAATGCTCTGGGGTTTTCAAGGCTGCAGGGTCTGCCAGCCTCTTTCTGGGGAGGAGGGGGTGTTGAGTAAGCCAGGAGCTCTGGTGGAAACTGCTCCTCCCTCCAGTGGCCTCAACATTTCCTTATGGAGAAGGGGGGTCAAGGCCCTCTGCTGAGCCCTGGTGAGGCAAGCAGCAGTCTTCCAGGGTTGCCAGCTTTGCTCCTGTATAAGGCAATTTGTATTTTTCCACTACTCATGTTTTCACCTACATAAGACGTTTTCGTGACAGGTATAACTTTTATTTTATTATCAGTTCTAACCAAAAGTGTTTCATGCTTTCAGTTATTTGAGCTGCTTATAAAGTGACAAGTTAGTTATCCCCGGGGTTGGTTCCTGAGCTTGACTGATCACCTGGAACCAGAAAGGACCTCTGGGCTCTGATGAACTGAACTAGCTCCTGGGGTGACTGACCCTAATATCAATCAGAATTCCATGTTGACTAGCCTGCTGGATTGAGTGAGTTCTCGGGGAACTGTGACCTCCATTTTATATTTCACATCTGGTATACTCATTGCTCTACCCACGAAATGCCCCTAAATGGAGTGTGCCTCCCTGCAAGTGATTGAAAACATACCTGCTCATGAGCGTTGTGTCATTTATGCAAACCACACTCGTGAACTAAGTGGGAACACATTCTTGTGGAAAGCCGAAATGTGCTCAAGTGTCCAGAGACTGAGCATTGAGTTCCAGGAGTTCTGTACCTGCCAGGCCCTGGGCAGGCATCTGGTTGTCTATAAGGTACTGTCGCCTTTGGGGATGAGAAAAAGGAACAAGCTGGGTGAGCTCCCGGTGTGCCCTGGGACATCTGGTAGATGCCCATTGTCTAGAGGCTGAGCAGAGAGAATTCACCTTTTGAGGAGAAATTTGTTGGTGGATCTTGAGGCCTTGCCAGCCCTCATAGTCTTAGGCGATGCCCCTGGGCCCTGTGGTACTCGATCAGTGGGGATGCTTTTGGTTGCAAATAACAAACTTCAGGTAATAGTGGATTAAGCAGAGTTTAGATTTCCCAAAGATGCTCTCAGCTCACATGAGGTCTGTATACACAGGGATGGGATATTAGTGCCACTTCCAGCAAGTTCTTGCATGAGACAGGTAGTCAACAAGACTGAGGATCCAATGTGCAGAGCAATGGATTTTACCTTTTTTGGGTCACAGCCTCTTTAATATGCCAGTAAGAAGCCCAGGGAAAAGTTGTTTGGATATACAAAGTTGGGCATGCAATTCAAGGGATTGATGGATCTCAGGTTAGATCCCTTGGTCTAAGCCACATTACTTCACTACTGTTTACCTAGGACCTACTGTGTCCCTCCGCCCACCAGGAGAGCATGCCATCCTGGTAGAGACAGGTGTCAAGAATGAAAATAGAGAGGGACGGCTGTCAGTTCTCAGCCTGTGTTGAAGTCTGTGCAGTCAGCCAGTGGGTCTGTCTTGTGGAACTGTGACCAAGAGGGCAGTGCCGCTGCTGCCTCATGCTTCATACTGGCTAAGATGACAGCCACGTTACACTCCTTGGTGCCCATCTCCAGTCTTCTAGGTAGTATTCTTGCTGCATGTGATGAGATCGTCCTGCTTATTTTCAGAGACTCCACCCCCTGGTCTTCCTTGGCCTGGCCCCTACCCCTCAGCCCCTAGGCCTTTTTAGCTGTTGGCATGCTTCAAGGCAGCTTTCTGAAGCCATCCATCTTGTAGGGGGTCATGAAATATCAATGTGCATTTACCTTCTTAATGTCCCTGTCATTGTCATTTAGTATTCTTGGTAGCTTTACTAGCTGGGGCTTGCTGATGGCCTGTGGCCAAATGACAATGTGGGTCATTGCTGGTTGCTGAAGTGACATTCTGCATCTCATAGGGGCATATTCTTGTCAAGAGAGCCTGGCATCCAGTCATCTAGATGGATAAAATATCATGACTTACATCTGGGTTGTATTGCTCATGAGGTTTTGGAGAATGCCAGGAAAGGATTTGGCTGTGCAGCCAGTAGTGGTAGAATGATAGAGGGTGGGGTGGAGAGCTGGGAGCTCTGAGCTCTGGTTTGGGTCCTCTGTGACTATCTATAGGGCCTTGGGCGGGTCCTGAGCTGCAGGGGCCCAGGCACCATCTGTGACTTCTCTGCCCAGCCTTCAGGGTTGTCATGGGGATTAGATAAAATACACCGATGAGAACATGCTTAGGAAGCCAGAAAGGGTTATAAAAATGAAGAGCATTATCAGCATTCAAGCAACCTTCAGATAACAGAATCATTATCCCAGAGGGGGCCCCTGGAGCCTCTGTGGTCTGGATTCAGACCCTGTAGAGCATATTTCTCATAGCGATGAAGGAGATGATTTTAGGTGGGACACATACAGCATCTTTTATTTTACTCTGTACTTGTTTATATATATTATACAAAGTGCAGCTATCACGTCCAACTTTTTTTTTTATAATAAGTATTTAGCTCAGACTAAAGCTAAAGAAAGATTTTTAAGTGACCCCTTGAGTAAAAGCTGGGAAACTTTCAACAGGGAAGTCCCTCCCACTCAGCCTTCGAGGCTTCAGCTGGGCCCTCCTAGAGATAGGAAGATTGCTGCCCCTCAAGTCAGGCCACTCCATTTGAGGATTCTCTTATCTTTGCAAAGTTCATTCCTTTCTTCCCTTAAGCTGTCTCACTGGATCTGTCCCACGTGAACCGTTGACAATCATGTTTTTTCTCTAGTGCCAGCAGCACTGCTTTCTTCAACTGCTCCTCAGACGATGTGATTTAAAGACAGCTTCTCTGTATGTCCCCCTGCCTTTCCCTCTCTCAATCCCTCCTCCTTCCATCTTTCCTTCAACAAAGACTTGTGGGCTAGACACTCTATATTCACCATCTCTCAACCTAACAATTTTACTGTTAGCCTTTTGCCAATATGGAAACCAAGGCCCAGGGAGGTTAAAGAAACCACTCATAGTCCTCGTCTGAGAAGGAGTCTGACCAGGGTCTGCCTGGTCTCGAAGTACACATTCCTTCCGTCACACTGCACTGCTCCCAGAACTGGATCACCAGAAACGACCTGCCTCTTCTCTCCTAGTACTCCTGGGACATGTCCTATGGGGGCACGATCATACACAATCAGTGCTGCATTGGAGCAAAGGCTTCAAGAGGAGAGAGGACAGAGCAGCCTGTGCACAAGGACGTTAGGAGGCAGCAGAAGCCACAGAGGTGCAGAAGCAGCTTGTTGGCAGAGAGAGAGCCTAGGTGGCAGTGGTTATCCCTGACTCTCATTAATCATACAGGCAGCAATGAATCCCTAAATCATTTGCGCACTTGGTAAATTTTTTTCAATTTTGAAAAATAAGAAAAGGAAACGTAAGGGATAATGTAACAAGCACCATGTACCCATTACCC